CACCCTCCTTACTGCAAGACACAAAACCATCTTGAAGGAAGCAGTGTATTAAATTAAATTCTGGTGTCAGCTTCTTGTCTCATTGCAGATGGGCAAGTTTGTTAGGGGCCAATTGAGGTCAATGTGAATCAACGAATGTGATGTAAATGCAGAGTGTGGTTAAATATGTCTGCAGATAAAATCAATTTTTTAAAACTTCATTAAATCTGGCTTGATATGAGTAATATTGGGGATATGAAATCCCACACCATCACGTGTCACCTTCCCCAGATACAAAAAATTATTCTTTTCCTCTTTCTTGGATATCTGTATGCCCATTCCACATCCTTACAAATGGGCCACTAGCCTATGGTGGTCAGATTTCTATAGCAGCAGCCAGGGCTACTTCTTTCAAATTCTTGCCCACTTCTCTTGGTCCTTGATATTCAATGACCTATCATTCCAATTGTTAAAGTGACTTCCCAAGTCTCCCTCTCCTGTAATGAGTAGCAGCCCCTGTGCAGCAGGCTTACTGGCCATTGGTGACCAACTTTTCTGAGTCTGGTGAGACAGAAGATTTACACACAACTTAAATGAAACAAGTTTACTACTCACAGGTAGACAGTGAGGGATAACAGAAGCCAAGGCTCCATCGTGAACCAGTCCCCTAATGTTCAGGAAAGCTGCCTGGGGTATACGAAGTCTTGTCTGCATGTGGCCCATTTGCACTGCAGCTGAGGGACCCCAGAAACCAGCCTGTTCTGGGTGTTGTACACTGGAGTCATGTAAATCATTGGGCTTGAGCATTGAAGGACATCTCGTTTCCAGACAAGATACTGGAACAGAGCCTGGGCTATTCCAGCCAGCTGCGCCTTATCTCAAAGTGTTGTATTTTACAGTTATTCTCAAGAACCACAAACAAGAAAGGGAGGAAAATTGGTTCAGTCCAAGACCGCTTGGAGAAATGTCCAGTAGTATCTATTCTCATGGAGCTACTGGCTGGCCAGGGAGGGATGCTATTCCATTTCTAATAAAATAGAAAGTGAATCCTTCTGGTGTTGACCTCATCTTCTCAAAGTGGTTCCACCATGCGGTTGTTGTAACAGTACTACTGGACATCTAGAGCATTCCTACAGCAGGCTGCAAAGGTCCAAACAACAAGAGGTAGTTATTAAAGACCCCAAAAGCAAGAAGACATTTCCCACTGACATAGCTGAAAAACAGACATGCCTATACCAGGCTGAAAAAAAATCAGTCCATTTTTGGCTGAAAATAAATTTTGTGGAATCAAAAGGATCAATAAGTTATACTCCCAGATTTACGTGACAAAGCATGTTGTTATTTTAAGTCCAATCTTTATGTTGTAACCCTTTTTGGACAAAATCATCAATAAAAGAAGGCCCCACGTTATGATGCCAGACAATAATATCAACATTCTCCCTATTTTTTTCTGAGAAGATTAAAAATGTACATCTCTGATTAAGTATGCAATAAGATGAGAATAATAATAATAATTGTGCAGTAACTTGCTGTTAGTTTGAAAACCTTGCAGAAATAACCAACAATGTTTGTGTGAGCCAGCATGCCTTGTTTGTTTGTTCATTCTTTTGTTTACTTATATGCATCTGTTAGATGTCTAGGAACAGGTTAAGATCTAAATGCTGCTCAGTAATATTGTTGAAATGAAGAAATGACAAAGCAAGATAGAAATTATTAAGTGGCATACATATTCTTTCTTAGATCAATGCCATATTACTTCTTTGCTATACAGAAATGGAAAGGATCATTGAATTGTATTAATGCTTATTCTATTACCAGGTGAGAATTCTGAACTCTCTGGCTTGGAAAGAATCTTAGTAAGACATCAGTTACCAAAAGAGATTAATATGACCCCAAAGCCAAACAGAATGCCTCTATGGAAAAGAAAAGCCATCAACAATGTAAGTGAAGAGTGGAAGAAATGCAACTCTTGGAAGAGAAACACGGAAGAGCCTCCAATGTCCACCATAGTTGTAAGGTAGGTGCTGTCTAATTTCTGCCCTATGCAGACGTATTTAGAGATACCCAGTGTGATCACAAAATCTCTTTATGACTTAATGTGGTCTTTGAGGTATACAATGAACATGAAAATAAGCACTGCTCTGTATAAAAACACATGGCATCATTTTTTCACACCCCCAAGCTGTTGGAGGAGCCCTTAGTGGGAGTAAACTCATGGAGATGGGAGCTGGTATGTTGGTCCCCCGTGGGCCACTGCAGTCAAGACTAGTGAGGAGACATCTAGCAGGGACAGGGTGAAATTCTTGTACAGGCATCTGATCACTGAACTGTGGGGCTTTTTGGCTGCATGAATCAGGAAGCACCAGCCCCACCATTACCAAGGACAAGGACACAATAATATGATACTGCAGGACTTTGTCTTTATCCCTAGTCTGCCAGATTTTACACTGAGAAAAATGGGGAGCCATTGCGGTGTCTCAACAAGAGGGGTGACATGATCTGACTCAAAGATTCTCTGGCCTCCAGAGAAATAAGGGTAGAAGCAGAAGACCTGATGGTGGCTTTTGCAGTTATGCAGGTAACGGCTGATGACCTCAGACTGGTGGTAACAGTGGGGATGTGGACTTGGTTGGATTCAGGCACTCACTTTGGTTATCTGGCAATTCATTTATTTATTTTTTTCTTTTGAGTCAGTGTCTTATTCTGTCACCCGGGCTGGAGTACAGTGACAAGATCGCTGTTCACCAAAGCCTCAACCTCCTGGGATCAGGTGATCCTCTTGCCTAAGCTCAGTCCCAAGTAGCTGTGACTACAGGCTCATGCTACTACACCCAGCTTACTTTTTAATACTTTTTATAGAGATGAGGTCTTACTATGTTGCCCAGGATTGCTCTTAGGTTCAAGCAATCCTCCCTCCTTGACCTCCCACAGTGCTGGGATTATAGGCCAAAACTTTTTATTCTTGGTGTCCTGTCTTCCCTGCTTATGCCAGATAGAAGATGTTTCTATATTTGTTTCTTCAGTGTTGCATATATTCCTGTACAGTGCAATGATACCTACACTTTGCACATAGTAGTTATTTTAAAAATGTTGTTGCTAGACTGAGAGGAAAAATATCTACCTTGCTATAAAGAAAATTATTTCTGATTTGAAGGCAACAAATACAGGGAGAAAGTTTCAGTTCAGAAGTTTGCCTGTACTGTTTGCTTACCCTGGGATCATTGCCCTAGTGAAACAGTGTCCTTGTTTACTTTTTTTTGTTGATGTCTTTTGTAATACACCAATTTGATTTAAAAATGTGAAACCAAAGAAGGCAAAGATTTTCTATAAAAGAAAGTGTTTTCTGGATAGCACAAAGACACTGAATTTTTGTCCAGAGAAAGGTAAATGTTATATTCAGTGGTAATCCCCAATTATTTAAGATTATTTGTCTATACTTTGGAGACCTATTATAAAAATTCAAGTTTCACAGTCATAGAAGGTTTGTACACCTCAGTTTCAGGTCTTCATGTGAAGTGACAGAGCTTATTTTACATCCTTGTTTGGTTTTTGAAAATATATTATCAAAACATAAGAAATGACACATTTTTTTTTTTTTACATTTCAATTTTAAGACATTTGTTTGCTCCCTTAAAAGCAGGAACTGTCTTATTTATTTTTTTGTTCCCAGAGTTGCAGGTTGGAGTCTCTGGTAAGCAAGTGCTAAGACAGAAATAAGAGTGAAAAGGTTTCCTGGAGGTGGTGTCACATCCATGTGGAAGGCAAGGAGCAGTATTGGGCAGGGAAAAAGGCTCTGTCTCAGTGGGAGGAGCTACAAAGTCACATTGCAGGGGACTTGGATTAGCAGAAAGGTTGGAGGATCAATCATGAACCCTTTTCTGGTTGCTGTGACTCCAGATTCCAGAAAGATCTGCTGTAAGATCTGGTCTAGTTCTGATGATGCCTCTTGGCATCAATGATTCTTGCCTTATTACCTGGTCACATGGTAAATATAGTTACTTGATGACTGTATCATTCTTAATTCTTGTGTCTTAACTGGCACTCTTGAGAGAATCCATTGGTCAGTCAAGGCAAACCTGGGTATTACTGAGGAATGTTATCAATGATAGCTTTGCCCTTAAAAATAGAACTACCATATGGCCGAGGAACTCCACTGCTGGAATATATCCAAAGAAAGGAAATCTGCATGTTGAAGAGATAGCTGCACTCCTACATTCATTGCAGCACTAGTCACAACAGCCAAGATATGGAACCATCCCAAAGTGTTCATCAATTGATGAATGAATAAAGAAAATGTGCTACGTATACACAGTGAAATACTTTTCAGTCATATAAAAGGATGAAATCCTGTCATTCAAGGCAACATGGATGAGCCTGGACACAGAAATAAGCCAGACACAGAAAGATAAATATCACATGTTCTCACTCATATGCAGAAGCTTAAAAAGTTGATTGCATAGAGGTAAAGAGTAGAACAGTGGTTACGAGAGATAGGGGAGTGGTTACTAAAGGGTAATGGGGAGGGATAGATAGCCAGAGGTTGGTTAACAGGCACAAAAGTACAGCTAGATAGAAGGTATAAGTTCTAATGTTCTCTATCACTGTAGGGTGACTCTAGTCAACAATAATTTATTGTATTTTTTCAAACTGGAAGAACACATTTTGAATGTTCCCAGCACAAAGAAGAGATAATGTTAGAGGTATCAGATATGCTAACTACCCTGACTTGATCATTACACATCGCATTCATGCATCAAAACATCACACTGTGCCTCATAAATATGAACAGTCATTATGTGTCAATTAAAAAAGAAAAGAATACCTTTTTTTCTTAAGATCTACTGAAAATACTACTGCTTTGTGCACTTGTAAAACCGTGCTGTTAGTACCTCATATTGTGTCAGGTAGAGTTGTGACACTCTGATGGAAAAATAACTGTGAAATTGAGTTTTGACAAGTATAAAACACTCTTTGAATGCACTGCATAGCATTTTCACATATTAGATTGAGCCAACTATAGGTCCTAACCTTGAACTTGCACTGGCAAACGTCGGCTCAATTTATGCTGTTTATCCCCACTAGCGCAAAGAGGCTAAATCCTTTCTCATGCATGGCCAATAGCAGTTTTGGGGCCACACAACAGTCAGACCAAACATGAAGCTTGCTGGCTTTGACAAAATTCCTTCGGTTCTATGCTATGTAAATAAATCAGCGGGCACAAAAGCCAGGAGTCCTGGGACCATGCTGGTAAGCGGGTTTTCTGAGTCTAGAGTTGCAGATGGTGGTGTCTTTTCTCTATTGGAGAACTTGGCAGGATCCCAACCCTCAGTTTTATAATATTGTAAGTCCCTACTGGATACTGCACATAAATTATAATGACTTGCGAACCATACTTATTGGTACAATATGCTATATTCATATTGGCTCTAGGGCATAATATTTTTCTTTTGATAAGAGTGACAAGAGCAGTACTTGAACAGGAGAGGGTTATGTGTTCCATACAAGAACTTTAGATTCCAAAATTATACATCAATATAGTAGCAACTGAAGACAGGACTAGTTGTTAGTGAGTTTTATTCTGCACCGCCCCCCGCCCCCCCACCATAGACATTTGCGATTAAGCCGGACTTGGGGTCAGCCCCCAAGAGGCAATCACCCCTTCTCTATACCAAAACCTGTCTATTTATTATACTTACCATAGCGCAAGTATGTGTTGGTTGCTATCCCAATATAAGCTCTCTGCTTGGACGCATTCAAAACAAATGTTCAATGTTTTCTCCTGCAAACTAATACCACAAAATAAATTTAAAATGTAACTGATTATAAGCAGACAAATGAGAAGCTCTCATGTCTCTTTCCCTTCCATTTGTTACTTGTTCCTCCAACTTAGGACTCATAGGCTCTCAGATCTGTAAAAGCTCTAGGCGTAGCCATCTGGGCCTTGGGAGGTAATAGGAAAACTGAGTCCAGGAGAAGCAGATGCCCTCCCAGGGGGCACACAGCTAAGCATGGCAGAGCATGGACTAGAATCCTGCCCCCCCACCCCTAACATACTAAGTTTCTTGTCTACTTTGATTCACCAACATTGACATGCCCATCAAGGCCCACAGGTTTATCTGTGGGCCAGAGTAGACCTCACTGATGGACATTCCACATGGGAGTTCATTTTACATGTCACGTTGACTGGGTCATGGTACCCGGTTGTATCAAACACTAGTAAAGATGTTGCTGTAAAGGTGTCTTTCAGATGAGATTATTATTGACATGAGTAGACTTTGAGTAGCCAGATCGTCCTCTACAATGTGGATGGGCCTCATTCCATCAATTGAAGGCATTCAGACAAAAGCCGAAGGTTCCCTGAAGGGGAAGAAATTCTGCCTCCAGGGGATCTTTGGACTCAGAACTGCAATACTGATCCCTGCCAGAATGTCCCGCCTGTGGGCCAGCCCTACAAATGTCAAAACTTGTCAATTCCAATGATTGCATGAGTCAATTCCTTAAAATCGCCTCTTCTCAATATAGATGTAGATGTAGGTATAAGTGTAGATGTAGCTGTAGGTAGAGATAGAGGTAGAGGTAGAGATAGTGCTATAGTCAACTGATTCTGTCTCTCCCATGAACCCTAACACAATTCATAAATCCAGCATTTGTGTAATTCCATAGGGGCTTAAGTGAAGTTTTTTCCTGCATAGCATAAGAAGAATGGGCCCACCGTGGGAACTAATAGTGTAAGGAAAATTGTCTGGGGAAACCCGATGACTGAGGAGTATGCATTTTGAAGGAAGAAAGAAAGGACTCCATTGTCACACCTCCCTCTGTGTCACTGTCATGTCCATGTGGAAGCAGCAGCGGTACCCTGGGTACAAGTACTGAGATGAAGAGTGAGCCTCAGGATACATGCTTTGTGAAGAGATACCACTAACCCGACTGGGGAAATCTTTCATAGAAAGACCTAGGAAGTTTCAAAGAAAACCAGAGCTGGACAGAAGTTACAGTTGTGAAGACAGTCCTAAATGTATTC